CCAAAAAATACTACTTTATAATCCACGTTTATCGGAGTTTACCCTGCTGAACTGACCAAGTTTCCCTCTGGAAGTATTGGTCAGAAGCAATTTTTCTCTTGATCACAAAAGGGTATGAAAAGTACATGATTGTTCCCTTTTCCTCCCCATTCTTAAAGACAATGTAAACTACTTGCACATATACTGTCTTATACATGGTGAATTTTAAAACATTCAATATTAGGAACTGCAGGAAACCCCAGAGTAGCTCTAAAGCAGCTAGAAAAAAGGAGATAATTACTTGACATTTGCTTTTCAGTAATGATTTCCTTCTTTAAAAAAGAAGAAAAAGCTCTTCCAACCTAAACCATCTATATACACTTAACAGAAATCTGAAATTCTATAAATCTATTTGAAATTATATAATTTATTCTAGTCAAGCATTTTCCTATTGAATTCCAACAAATCCAAATGATGTTTTCTCGTTCACTTTTGAAATCAAAGTGTTACGACTGTCAGAAGCAAGTTGAACCATTTTCTTTTCCAACGCACAGCAGAAGGCTCCATCATTTAATCATTCCAAGTGCTGACGATCAGAAAAGTAAGTCAAGTTGTAAGGTCTGCATTAATATAAACACTCCAATGACCTCTCATACCCCATGGCACAGTGAGAACTCAATTTTATGTTAATAAACCCTAACACCAAACTTAGAAACTCAAAAGACACCAGGTATTACAACTTACATAAATTACAGCTGAGATCAAATGGCCCGTACAAGCAATTGTACAGTGATAAAGCCTAAGTGGATGATATTTAAACAGATATTTGATTTACTGCAGAATTTTATATCATGGTAGAATTCAAATGACAATTTACAAGTCCAGAGGAAAGAAATCCCTGTCCCATGCAAACTACTGTTTGCAGCACTGTTTCAGAACAGCTTAATATTGTAACTTTAAGGGAGAAATTCTTCCCTCTGACAGTCTCAGGACACAGTCTTAGAAGCCAAACTATAAAACCTGACATTTAAAAAGAGAATGAACAAGCTACTTCTTTATCCCCAGGTAGGAAATAACATCTTCAGTCTTCTGCGAGTTAAGTCTCATGAACCTAATTTTTGCAGTACAGCTGGCTGTGGTTTCTTCTATCAAAAAAAAGCTCTGATGCTAAGCTTGAGGATGTGCCTTTCAAGTTCTTTAGAGATGTACAAATTGTGGAGACTGTAGAACAGACAGCACCATCTCTTATTAGTGGCAGCAACACCACTAGTTAGTATTAACCCGTTCTCCATGGGAAAAAAATTGCATTTTGTACTCAAGTTTGAGATGCCTCTCACAACAGTACTCCTGGCCAGCATTTCCTCGATCCCTCAAAACAGTCCTGCTTTTCCTAGCTAAGAAAATTTGCAGAAGAATGCATGAAATAAAATAAGAGCCGAATTCTCAGAGGAGAAATCGTGCAGATGCACATTTTTGAACCAAACTTCAACACCCGAACAGGTTACGAATGGCTCCCCGGAGACCAGACAACCCTCTTATTCCCCAGCAGCGAGCAACTATAGGTAATTCCAGGTGAAAAAAAAAATGATCCATCAAGGAAAAGATTTATCAAAGGAAAAAAATCGCAGGCTTCCAATGTGATCCAGGAAAACCTCTTGGCCAATAGTCGCAGCAGCAGTAATTGTTCTAAATCTATCAATAAAGCTAAGCTGCTCCTTCATTGACTGCAAACACCAATTTCTTTCATGGAGGATTATAAGTTGATGTTCATGGTCTCTCTACCGCCATTAGGGTGATAAACAGTTTAAACTACATCAGGATCTGACATGTAGATCAATTCTGGGTCCATAAAGAATCTACACAAGAGGTTCCCGGACAGGGATTTACTGCCCCCAGTTTTTATTCTCTCTTGCTGCTAAAATTACTTCTGTCAAGTACTTACAAGACTAAGAAAAAAAATGTAAAAAGAATTAATTTTTCATGTGCTGCTGGAACAGACTTTTTAAATTTCTGAGTTTTTAAGGCAAATATGTTACTGCATTTAAAATTATGCTGAACAGCAGGTGGTATTCAGCTAAATAGTGAGCCAGCCGCACGATGTGCTCACTATCAAGCAGACAGCAATTTGAAACACCGAACTAAGCTGTCTAGATTTTCTCCGAGGGCAGTCACAGGCTTCATGTTACCAGTGCCAAATTATATTAGACATTTAATTTTAAACCTCAGGTACTTAAATGTAAAACCTTACAACAGTAATAGTCATAAAGCAGTGGGGCATTCCATTTCAGAGAATGGATTTTTCTATTTTTCCCCTTTAATTTAACCAGCACCTCCTGTTTTGTGGCTCTGCCCACTACAAAGTAATTTATCTAATTAGGAGATGTTCACAGCTGCTTGAAAGACAGAACCCCCAGGAAACCAAAGGTCTGGTTCGGAAGACTTTGAAAAGTTCTCCGGAGCTACACAAAGTATTAATTTAATGTGAAAAAAAGGTGCAGAGAAAAATTGAATCCCAATATGTTATTTTGTCTACAATAAAACCATGTGACAATAAGCAGGCATATTCTCCAGTACATTGGCATTTGAATTCCAAAAGATGCTTAGCTTCTCGCCATACCTGCTGCTTTCACAGTATTATCTTTTTATGACTAAAATTCAAAAATCTTTTAATGGAGAAAAAAACCCTGAAATTAAAAAGGGTTTTTCATGCGTCAACTTGCCAACATAAAGGACACATCTACGAGCTTACCGAAAGATGATACACTGATAGCAATGAATTATTCTTCAGGTTTTATAGCAGCTTTATTGCAATACTTCTGATTCTGCTGACCCTTAGTTGCCTAAAGCTCACTGTTAGTCCAATTTTTCCACCATACTCATAAAAAACCCACAACTTTTTTTTTTTTTTTTAATTAGAACCTGTGAAAGAAATTATTCAAGTCAGTCTTGTTTAAAAGCATCTACCAGCCATCTGCATTTTTTGAACAAATATTTCATAGATAATTCTAGCTGTCATCTCTTTAGATCCAGAAGGAATCGCGTATGAATGTCAAGTCGGAAAAAGGTACTGCACATACTTGGGAGTACAGAGCTTGTGTAGGAGGAAAGGTTCCCTTCACCATGAATTTCAAGCTAGCTGAAGCACAGCATCAGGAGCAAAAGACAAGTCCAGAAAATATCTCAAAACCAGAAACAGCATCACAAAGTAAAGGAGAAGGGAAAAGGTAGGAATTCAGGTTGTATTTCTATTGTTCAACACATTAATTACATGCCACTTCTAGGCACTGATTGAATTCTGAATTTTGAAGATTTTCCTCTATTGCAGCCTCAGTTGTCACATCTGGCACTAAGGAGCACGGGGACGGCATCTGCTCACCTGACTGTAGGCATGTTAAGGTGTAAAGGACCGGACACTACATCTTGTCTTTCACTTGCCTTCTGGTGCAAACGTACAACATTCTCCAACTTTTCTTTGAGAAGCTACATTATAAAAGAAGGATGCAAAAAGCTGAAACTTTGGTATAACCTTTTAAAAGGAAAGTAGAATTGGGGTGGGTTAAAATGACAAAGCAGCGTGGGAAAAAGAGAAAGGAATACATGGTCTTAACTGTGAAAACAGTTAAGTCTAAAGGAATACGTGCAGGGCATTGCTGACTGCCCTAAAAGACTTCCAAAGAAGTGGGTGACTTGGGTGGACGCTGAAGAGGAGAGTGCTGAGGCAACTGATCATGCTGCTTAGCAGGATCTCTGGCTGTCACCAAGGCTGAAATAAAGGATGCTTGCTTTAGAAAATTCTCGGTCAAAATCTGTACCATTTTGATGCAAATATCACGCACCTGAAGATGTTGCCCACAAGTTTAGAGCTCCAGAAATGTATGTGCTTCAACAACTACGAACTGGAGAGCCACTGCCAGTCAGAGCCAAGGTGACCATGATTCTAACCCCTCCGTTCTCATGAGGAGGCACTGAAAGGCTGTCCAAAGCTGCTTAAACCCCCAGAGACAGTATCTGGGCTAGACCTGGACTCAAACCTTATACATATACACACACACACATATATATACACACATCCATATGTATACGGGACATGTGAAATAGTTTCCATACTCCTGTAATTCTCACCGTTTCAGGGATAGCCATCACAAACAGCTTTTCCTCCCCCTTCTCCTGTCCTATTTACCATTTTTGCCCCTGTTATGCACATTCTCAATTTTCTTCTCAGTTCTGCCTTCTCTCACACACTCATCTCCCTTTCTCCTCTGTTGGATGAACTTCTCTCGGTTTCTCCAACTGCCTGCTAATCCCCATGCTCCTGGACACGCGTGGTTCACCGGCACGAGCCATGTCTGCGCACACCACAACAGAAACACCCGAGTCCCAGCCCACCCGCCGCGGCTGCTCTGATTTGCGTAGGCAGCAGGTCAGCTATAGGTGAACAGCATTATATCTCTGTCCTCCCCCAGCACTCCGCGGAGGCCCGATGCACCATTTTGTTACCAAATACCACGTGTACTCTTTAAAAACAACAATCCCTCTCTCACTGTTACAATCTAATCATTGCAAAACACCATCTGGAATAGTGTTTGCTCCTTTTAATACTGTTAAACGCTCCACAGAGAAAACACTGCGACTATGCCAGTAGTGTGCATACATTAAAGCAAGAGCACAGCCGAGAAAGGACATGCCGATGAAAAGATCTGGAGGATAATTTACTGCTAATACCTACCACACAGAGTAAGGAAATAAGAGTATCAAGTGAACAACAACCTACATCACGTACCCGAAATTAAAATTAAGCAGTATTATAATTACATTAGCTCCTCCTGCTGAAAAAGTATTGTATTGATCTGTTCTCTTTTATCTCATTTCTCTTTTTCTCTCAGATGCTCTAAGTTTGGCTTCCAGCAGAGCATCTGGGTGAACATCAGGTTGTGCTTTTTTTTTTTCCTTTTTAAAAAAGCAAACCAAATTCCCCCTTCACCCCAAAGCACATAACCCCCCCCCAGCTCCAGGTTTCTTACCAGTGCTAATGCCAGAGTTTGCAATGACTGTTGCCTCACTCCACTGATCTGCACTGGAGACCGAGTAAGAGCGCTGATGCATACCATCCGGACGACTGTTGAAGGAGACTAGACTGATCCCACTTGCCATCTGAGACACAGATGTGCTAGTAGTCACGTTCCCTAGACATAAATGGAAAATAAATTGTGTCAATAGAGAAGACAAAATTGATTTGCATGAAGATGGATGGGTGCATCTTAACAGAGCAGAAAAAGAGATTACTTAACTAGCGCAGCTCTCCCTGAAACTCTGAAGACAATGGTCCTGTGACCAGCTTGGGACACTGCAGAGTTCAGCAGCCCACTCAAATCCAGCTAGGAACTTCTGACAAAAGAGCCTAAATTTCCAAGATTTCACCTCATTCCGTTCATTCATCTTCTGGAAAGCACAACCTTACACAACACTGCTACCAGCCACATTCTGTATAGGTTCTCCACTTCTCACTGGTACAGCATGAAAGACAGACGGCGCACAGAAAATAAATTTATTCCTGAAAACCACTCTTTACAGAAGCAACTGAGATGAGACAACTAAGCCAACTCAAAGAGTTTAAAACAATCTACGTCTAACTAATATTTCACCTAAGTATGTCCCCCAAGCGAAGCCAAGAACACAGTGATGGAGAGCAAATAACTACAAGCATTGTGAGACCAAGCAAAAAACTTCTTTTGATTTTTAATCTTAATATTATGACACAAAGCACACACTAGAGGCTTGTCCCACTGACTGCAAATACCATTCCTGCGTCTTGTCCCATCACAGTAGACCCATCACAACTCTAACTGAAGGCCTATGACACAAAAGGTGAAATAGGAAGAATAGACTTTACCCAGTAAACACTAGAAACAATTTTGTATTTTTATGATCACTGAGGTCTAAGACAATAAAATGCTGGGAGGCGTGTGCGAGAGGGAGCAACAGGGACAGGTTTCTCGCCATAAAACAGAAGCGTGATCTGGTTGAATAAATTTTAGAGTTGAAACAATTACACCTTTCCAGAAGCTCAGGTTTCTGATGGTCTTACACATCACTTGACATGGGCCAAAGTCTGCTCTACAGTTTTGGTTTCTGAGCACATTTTACTCCAATCCTAACACAGGATTTACATATTATAAAGACACAAAGATTTTACAAAGCCAGTTTCATTCCAGGTGGCAGGTCCTCATAAAGGACCCCACAGGTCTTCTGCGGATTTAAGAATACTCTTTAAAAACAAATGTAAAGGGAAAAAAACAGACACAATTTTGTAAAATACCCTAACACTTTGAATTTCCATTGCACCTTCTACTGATGAGTTCAGAAAAATTAATGAATTAATTTTCAATGCTCCTGTGAGGTTGTTAATTATCTGCTATCATTTTCCCCATTTTTCAGAGGTTAAATGACCCAGGGCCACAAAGGAAGATTGTGGCAGACTTGAAAATAAAACCCAGATCTCCTGACTCCCAGTTCTATCATTATGTCTTTTCCCAGAGCAGCCTTTGGGAAGACAGCAGAGCTTAGTGAACTACTTTGTGTTTATTAGAGTTGGCATAATTGTCCCTTTCTCTCCTCCCCTTTCCCAAGACTAAATCTCATCTTTAGTCCTTAACACAGATTCATCACTGCAGTATCTGTCCACCTGAGTCTTGAGTGTACTTACTCAGACTCAAGAACTTCTGTGTGGCAATCTCTACTTAGTAGACATGAAATACATAGAAAAAAACAATTTACTCAATTATGCAAAGTCTAAGGTGGATTCTGGAACCATGTTGGAACCTCCCAAGGCAGTGCTTTAGCTACTGGCACATAATTCCTCTCTAATCGCCTTCCCTGGGCAACGCTTTTGTCCAAAAGAATTCTGTAATCAGAGCATCTTCTGCCAAACTGTTGAAAAAATTTAGCCCTCCAACAACTGGTCCTCTTCAGGACATTGTGTGCCGGACCCCATCAACTGAGAGCAATTTACTAATGCTGGTATTTTAGCACCTTCTAAAGACATCTTCCAAAGAAATGTTCAGCAGAGAAATTAGGCCTACAGAAATTAAAGTACAAAGCAGAGGATCAAATTATAGCTCACTATCTTAAAGTCACAATAGAAGATGAAACACTGTCTGATAGTACACATATTTTGGGGTCTCTTAAAAGACACACCTCCTTCCAAATGAACTTCTGTGATGCCACTGATGCTCACTTTGAAATAACCCTTTCCTCCAGTTTTCACAATCCAGAGAAACTACGAATGTTCACGAATTATTTTGATTATACACCAAATTTACAGGAGTGGCTGATGTGAACGACAGAGACTGAGACCAAATGCACTCTAGAAACTTCAGATTTAGGCCAACATAACACCATGTGGTTCAAGAAGGAGAAGTCCTAAGCTCTGCTCCTGGGGCTGAACAACGTGGTGTAGCAGCAGAGGCTGGGGACCAGTTAGCTGAGTAGCAGCACTGCTGTGAAGGACTCAAGAGACAACAGTGGATGCCAGAATGTATGCTAACACCATACTCAACACAAACCGCAAGCTGGGCACACCACGATGGGCATCTGGAAACACTGTACTCAGTTCTGGGTCCCCCACTTCAAAAGGATTGTTGGGAAATGGGAGAAGAGCCAGCAAAGAACTGCCAAGACAGCCAAAGGTCTTTGGTTTTGCTGTTGCACCCTTTCGGGCATCTTTAGATTATTCCTGGAAAATGGCTTTGGGAACAACTTATTTTTTTCACAAACATCTACCCTGCCAGACTCAAGAGCAACGCCACAAACACACACTTTTAAGCTGTAGCCGTCTTTCACACTGTGCCTAGTAAAACAGGAAGCTACATGTGACGAATTCCTGCAAGAGTATCTTTGTAACAAAGATCAGGAAGGAGAAAACTGGTACATGAAAGCCGAGAGGGAGTGTTTCCTAGGTATCATGGGAAAATCAAAACAATTACTGGACATCTTTGCCTGGATGACACATCCCCATTACTCCGTGCTGGGTGGCTGAGTTGCAGAGAGCGGCAATATTTGTAAGTTGACATCCTCTGCCTAGATCACACATTTTTGAACAGAAGTGTCCAGTCACTTTCTAACCATGATGCAAAACCAAAATCTTAAAAAGATAATATCAAGACTTCTACATCATCATGTCAACACCAAAAGCTTTACTTTCACCTTAATGCCACCTTACGGAACTCCCCACCCCACGTTATGACATGAACCTGTTGAGGAAGTGACTTATTCTGCAAACTAATTCAGAATTTTTCTTTCACTTAACATCTCTGAAAGGTGTGGGCTGCTGGCAAGGAATTGGTGCCAAGTCCCATCACGTAATACTTTACTGATCAATGATGCAACTCAACTCAGCTCCCTCTTTTCTGTTGCCATAGTCTGGTACTGCTGCTACCTGCCACCCTTGCGATAACATTTATTCAAAGTTAAATTCCACTTCATTCATGTGCTGTAAGATTTTTATGATATATCAGACCATGCAAACCGGAATTCATGGGTAGATAACAGAAGGGCTGCCCTTTCCTCTTCCCCTCCTAGGCATGTTCAGCTCTAGCACAAACTTGTTACTTACAACCTTCTTTAAAAATAATTATTTCCCAATCCATTGCTATTTTTTCCACTTCTCAGGCTAATCACAGCACACCCAGGACATGTACCCCACCACACCAGTAGGCACTAATGCTGTCACACAAAAACAAGAACTACTGGAAGTCAGCTGCTGCTCTCACACACTTTGTATGCTTCTACAAAACAGTCCTACGCTTTTTCCTGTCCGAAACAGGCAAACCCCACTCCAGACCCCCCCACAAAGCAATTGTCCTTTCTTTTTTTTCTCAAGGATAAAGCCTCAACAGCAGAAATCATCTCAGTCTTTCAGCAGACAAGTGAGAGACAGTTAAAAAGTGGAGGCCAGCAATACTCATTGAAGAGTAAACCCTGTATATTGGCTTAGGCACATGAAGCCTTTACGTCAAGCTCTTACAAGCAAAGCCTTGATGCATTCTGCATCTGTTGTCTCCCCCATCTGTACATGTGTACACACACACATGTATATCTATCTATATGCAGATAGATACGTATCTCAACATTAATGTGAAATCCATGGTCAGCTACCTGGCCCATTCTGGAGTTGTGAAAGAGTGCCTCTTCAAATACATCATATATGCATCAGCTGGTTGCTTAAGTTGATTAGCAGGGGGCAGTTAAATTACTATGCTAATCCATGTATTCTCAGCACTGTTTCCTTGATATGGATATGTGTATATGCTTACTGGGAAGCCTTGATTAGTTCAAGCTTCAATGTGTCAAAGGCTCCAGATTCTTTCCAAAGAATAATTTTAGCTGTACTCACATCCCTAAAGTGTGGGAGCTGATTTGAAAAGGTACTTACCTCTACCATATGCTATTTTTCTTTAAACAATTTGCATTTCAAAGTGAATATGGCATTTATATTTGAATGAATATCAGTATGTTGCCAGAACTGGTCTCAAATGAGCAAAAAAAGATGCTGGTCTCCTATTGAACAAAAATGTTTTCATCTACCAAAGGAGCATCAAAGGAAGAGTTCCTCTTTCTAGCTCTAGACAGCTTTATTAAAACTATCTTTTCTGATATTATAAAATACCCCGTTATGATCACGCTTACAAAATGTTCAAACAATTAAGCTCTACAAGACCCATCCAAATTAAGATTCAAGGTAATTTCCAGGTTTGGTCAATGCTCAGCAGAAGAGCCTCTATGAAAAGTGAGTGTGTTCATACAAAATTCAATTTATATATCCATCTATTCAGTGTAAATAGCTGTAAACAGCAAAGAGCAAATAGAGACCAGAGACTCGGCATAAGAAGAATGAAGCAGAGGAGCGCATGCCTGTGTGTACGTATGTACATATGAAAAGGCTGACACATACACACACACACACTGGGGGCAGAATGTGTCTCCATTTCCTATCCACAGAGGGACTGGCCTTGGCTCTTCATACACCCTTGTTCCAGATTTACAAAACAACAGACCATAAATGCAACCTCAGGTTACAATACTTGGAAACATTAAGAAAATAACAAAGATTTATACAAACACATGACTATACAAGATGCTAAGTGCATATCTAGTCAGTAAAAATCAAAAGATAAATACACTGTGC